TGTCAATCACTGAAACACTCAAATGTGTGTCCAATTAGTGGACGTATTTAGTGAGCGAATGGCAGTCTATTTGTAAACAACGAGTGATTGAGTATTGAATGCATTGATCACTAAATCGTGAATCAAATCAACGATTGACTCAAATGTCGAGAGTTTTGATCGCATTATCATTTGGTAAGCAATTGGACACAAACCACATATCATTGCATTCAACATATGCCTGCATTACAGCACATCGGGTGACCCCACGAGCACTGAAATGCCATTCACAGGGCGCTCGAGGTGTGAGCAGCTCTTCGGTGGTCTTCGGCGGCGGAGAGTATAAACAGTTGGGAAGAATCGACTCAATGGAGTGGAAAGACATCACTGAGCGGTCGCTGCAGTCGATACTGATGACGGAGATGGCTCGGGGTATGGGTGTGGCGTTGGGGCAGATCTTCAAGGAGCCGGCGACCATCAACTACCCCTTCGAGAAGGGACCCCTCAGTCCACGCTTTCGTGGGGAACACGCCCTCAGACGCTACCCGTCCGGTGAGGAGCGGTGTATTGCCTGCAAACTGTGTGAAGCCATATGTCCGGCGCAGGCCATCACCATCGAGGCCGAGGAGAGGGCCGATGGCAGCCGTCGGACCACCCGTTACGACATAGATATGACGAAATGCATATACTGTGGCTTCTGTCAGGAGGCCTGTCCTGTCGACGCCATCGTCGAGGGCCCCAACTTTGAGTACTCCACCGAAACCCATGAGGAACTGCTCTATAATAAGGAGAAGCTGTTGAACAACGGCGACAAATGGGAGGCAGAGATCGCCGCCAACTTAGAGGCCGACCATCTCTACCGATAGACTCGGCTTTGAATTGTTGTTTTAGTTCACTATATATTATGTTATATATTAGGCATTGATTTAATTGATTCAATCAATAATAGTAATAAAGATCTAATTTAAAGATTTTAATTCCTTTCTCTAATTCATTAAAACAAAACTCAAAATAAATATTATGGACCAAAAGAGCGGTCAGAGGGACTGGCAGTTTGGCGTAACCTCTCGCGTGTCGTGTCTATCGTGAAGTTCACTCTAAAGGCGAAGTAAAATCTAAGTTAACTTTTAGTTCACTTAAATCACAATTTGTTTGTAAATTTATATTACAGTCGATAAAAACTCTGTTTTACTCTAAATTATAAGTTATGATAAAAACTATTAATAAATTGAAAACATTGAGACATTATTAGATCTCTAGAAACATAATCCTCGGGTCCTCGACAGCCGCTTTGATTTTGCGTAAGAAAAGGACCGCTTCTCTGCCATCGACCAGTCGGTGGTCATACGTCAGACAGATATACATCATCGGCCGCACCTCTACCTGTAACGCATAAAAACAGTATAAACACACAATTAGTACAAAATTGAGATCAAATTTTGATGCGAGTTTCAAATGCAATAATAAATAATATAATTGACTTAAGTTTTGAATGAAATATTAAACGTTTATATAATTATAATAAAAGTTTTTGCCTTTCAATGAATCAAACTTTAGATAAATATAAGTTTTTTGAACAAAAGTCACGATTATTACAACAGTATCATCAAATAATGGAGCACTTAATTTGTTAACTTAAAGCCAATTAATCAGTAAATGTCAACTAATGTTAACCTAATTTTCACTATTACTTAATTCATAGCTACAGTATGTAACAAAACTCAAGCAAAACATAAATCATAACAATGTTTCACAAAAACTATAAACTATACTTGAAATGTGTATTCAAATGATTGTTAAGCAATGGTTATACCTTATGGTTGATAACAACTGGTCTCTCGAAAATGCCGTGCATTCCCAAAATGGCTGATTGCGGAGGATTTATAATAGGAGTTCCAAACATTGAGCCAAACACTCCACCATTACTTATAGTAAAGGTTCCGCCATCCATGTCCTCAATGGCCAACGAACCGCTTCGGGCCTTAAATCACAATCAAATAGTTAATCAAAAATCATTTAGTCATTTAGCATACCTTCTCTCCCAAAGCATTAATAGTTTTCTCAATGTCTGCATAACTCATGTTCTCGACATTTCTAATGACAGGCACAACAAGTCCTTTAGGTGTGGCCACAGCGACACTGATGTCCACATAATCTCGATATAGAACCTCCGAGTCGTCGATCACGGCGTTCACGACGGGCTGATCGATGAGTGCATAGGCGGCCGCCTTCACGAAGGCTGACATAAAACCTAATTTCAAGTTATGCTTCTTCTGAAAGGCGTCTTTATATGAGTTCCGCATTTCAATAACATTACTGTCAATCAAAATATAATTAGCCATCAATCGTGAGATTAGCATAAATGGTGTAAAACCTCATATCGATCTCATTGAAAGTGGTGAGCATTGCGTAAGTGTTTTGGGCGTCTTTCAGTCTCTGAGCGATTCTGAGTCTCATTCGATTCATTTTAACCCTATTCTCACGTCTGGCCCCCACTCCGAAGCCGCCTGACTCTGCTGCCGGTGCTATCGGTTTAACAGATCCAACCGGTGCTGACGACAATGGGGCTGAAGGTCTTGGCGGAGGGGGTGGTGGTGTCGATGGGACCTCTGCTTGTGGTTTGGATGGTGGCGGCGCTTTAGGGGCAGCCTCTTGAGGGGGTTTGGCGGCCCCTGCTTTCTTGGGGGCGGCACCACCTCCAGCACCAACTCTCAACTTAAGCACAGCCTTTCCCGGTTGAACAGTAGAGCCATCCTCGACCAACAGTTCTTCTATAACTCCGGCCACCGGAGAGTGAATGGGAACTGATGTCTGAAATACAATTGAAATCATTTAATAAGACACTGGAAAATGAATATCAATAAGCAGTGCAATCTGTTTATAAGCAACTCGTTATTATAAACTAATGTTTATTACACACATTTCCTTTGGGCATAATGTGTCAAAATGTTCTCATATGCAACCGCCAGCCCTATAGGCCACTGATTTAGTGCCGCAATTCAGTTGCCAATAAAGAGATCAAACTGTAATTCAATTAATTACTTATTTTTATGTAAAATTGTTTCAATTATTCTTTTGAAACAAGAATTCAACGATTTTAGACAGTATTCAAAGAAAACATGTTATTATAAAACTATTTTGTCTAAAAATCGATTGCATTCCTCCCTAAACAGTACACAACGAGTAGAGAATTTAAGTTAAATATTATTTAATTAAAAAATCAACTTTAGTTTAAACATTTGACCAACAATAATACTTATTTACTAAAACACCGAGTTATACATTTTAAAAACAAATGATGATTAAACAAAAATTTTGGTCATAAAAATATTAAATTGTTATCTATTTTAAATGGATTTATCATTTTATGCTCGTTTTGAGTATAGTTTTTTTTAAAATAAATAAAATTATACAAAAATATTACCGTGTTATTTTAATTTAGTTATAAAGCATACACTATAGGACTACATAATTATATAATATAAGTAAAACTCTTTCTAAACAGTAAAGCAAAGTATGTTTAACATGTAAGTGGATGTTCTGTGACCTATGAAATAGCGTTTAGAAGTTATATATATTAAGCGTAAGCAAAATCAATAGAAAAAGGATTTCTTGGCTTTCAATGAATATTCAAATTAACAAATTTGTAACAAAAAAGAATTAGTGATAAACTTATTATTCCGCTTTGAATCACATATAGATTTGCACTTTATTTAGATATAGGAATAAGTTTTGTATTATAGATAAAGCACTAAAAACCAAAAGAAATTCAATCAATAGCTAGAGTTAATCAGTTTTGGGCCACACTTTGCACAACCATTAGTTGCGATTCAATCCCAAGACTCAAACAAAAGGCGAAAAAACTGTTTAATTAGTGAAATGGTATTGTCTTTCATTTTTACTTAACTTATCAAATATCTATTGAAAATACTCTTTAAAATCATATCCTATTTATAAAAAGAGAGCAAAAACTGATAAACAATTTTTCCTCTCTTTCTAAATAGTTCTCAAACTTAATGAATGGCTAAATGAGTGAATGTATTGTTTTGTAGCGACAAACCATAAAAATGAGAGAATAATTAAAGAATGTATTACTTAAACCCATTTTCTAATGAAAAGCAGAGATAAAGTCATCCGCCAATGCCTACCATATGAGCCGCTTTTGTCGCATATAAATCACTTTTCATTGTCTTAAAAAACATTATCGAAAAACTATAGCCATATATACGGCACCCGATATGAGAGGGAAAAAGATTCACTTTTTTTGGCTTTGAATTATAGAATCTCTAGTGAAGGCTATGGCAATGCCTTTCATTTATTACAATAATTATAAATAGCTATTAGTTTATGCAAAGAAATGAATACATTATACGCGTATAACACACAGTATACTCACATTCACGCAATAATAATGATTAACTAATTGAAAAAGATTTTCTTTCGACCAAAAAAACTAATTTTTCCTGACTTTAAATTATTATTATTATTATTACTGGTATTGTCATTACGATTACGACCTCTTTTTATAATAACTTTCCATACATTAATAAACTAAGTTATTGCCGGCAAATGGCTTTCATTGTCTGAAAACATTTTTTAACCGCTATTACCGCATAAATAGTATAATCATTGGATAGGCTTTGAGATTCTTTAGTGAATAATATTATATACTGTACTTAAGTAATATTAATAACTTATTAACAGTAAAAAGTGCTTTGAGTGCAGAGAGAGAGAGAGAGAGAGAGAGAGAGAGAGAAAAGTTAGTTATTAGGCAAAAGATATGTTGCATTAAATGCCAGCCTTTTATTATTGAATAATACAATTACTATTACACACTTTAACGCTAAGAAAGAGTTAGAGAAAAGGCTTTTCGCATATCATTTCATACATAACTCGTATTCGTATCACAAATGAGAGAAATAAAGAGTAAATAAGTGGTAATAATGCGGTTATGAAAACAAACAAAACCAATGAATTCATCGTTTATACCAACAAAACAAAACAGATATAATAGAAATGTTTTGCGTTTAGAAATGCATTTCTAATTGAAATTAAGAAAAATTACAATAAATGCTATGAAATGAGTAGAGAATAAGCAAAAGTGGTTTCATTGTAGAGATAAGTCATATATGAAATGATGTCTGACTCGAGAGCTCTGGTACTATAGATACCAAAGAATAATTTAAGTGAATGTTTAATCTCATCGCAAGAAAGGGACAAAAAGTAGAAATATTTAATTATTATATCGAAACCAATAGACATAATATGCATAACTTGAATGTGATTAAAGACATGACTCGTAGTCAGACATATCCATTGCTTTATAGAAATAATATTAAGATATAGTGTGTATAAGTGATCATAAATAACAAATATTTGTAATGAATGTGCTTGATGAGGCAATTGTTTTGGACAAATGTTAACGATTGGTGGATAGGGAGAGGGTCTCAGTGCTAATCTTGGATCACATAATTACATCTTAGGGAGACATTAGGCAACAGGGAATTGATGGCACAAGTATAAGACCACCACAACTATTGCCATAACAATAATGGACTTCAAACGAAAACTAATACAATATATGAGACATAATTCACTTTGTATTGAAAGTTTGCACCGAATGTCACGTCTGTCCGTCGCTACTCTCATAGCAACCCAACAGATCGTAAGTAAACTTAATTGAAGGCATATGTGGTCTTCGGTGCGCACCTGACAAGAGCACAGTTAGGCAGAGGTATGGTATGCTGTAAATGGTATAACTGTTTCAAGTGGTGTAGAAATAGTACGCTTTCTTCCTAATGACAATTAGTTAAGTTATGGCTCGTAATGACAAAAGGGACGACTACTTCACGGGTCACCGCATGCGACCACACCCAGCCCTACCAGGCCTGCACTTTATGTTAGACTGCGTGCTTCCCATATTACTTATGAACAGCACTGGTATCTGAAGTCATTCTTACATTCCTGACTCATACAGAATCGCTATCTCTATATTCTATACTCTACTAAACACTGCTATAAAAAGCAAAATTAGAGTCAAACGTGTATTAAAAACAGTTATTAGTTATGCGAATACTTATTACGATATAACGAGACCAACAGTACAGTTAATATTATGGACATTAGATATTAGACATATATAATCCATTTGAAGCACAATATCAGTAAAGTGTAAGGACTGGTAGGCCTGCTAGACGTGCTCTCATTCAACTCATCTATTAATGAATATATTATTAAAAATAAGTCAAATGAGAGAAAAGTCATAACTTTGTAACCTATGGGGACTCTATTGAAAGTGTTTTAGGTTTATGTCCAACACTTTATGCTATTTTTTGCATACAATCGCAACCCGAGTATTGCATGTCCTCTACTTAGAGAGGACTGTCGTGTTCTCATAGTATGCATCAAATTAACTGTAATTATATTCAACTTTCAGTACTTCAGGGATTCAGACAACACTTTAATTGCAGTGAAATTTATTTGAAACCCAACACAAAAAATATGAAAACATTTCTCTAATATTTCATAAACAGATAAAACACTCGTAAAAGCGCTGCCATTAAGTAATAAATTAAGATAAAAAGCCGATTCGTGACTCACTTTATCGGTCTCTACTTCGCCGACCACTTCGTCCTCACCCACAGAATCGCCGACAGCTTTGCATTACAAACACAACCATTACTTTCATACCATTCAAGCCATGGATCGTATCAATAGATTGCAAACCTTTATCCCAACGAATGTCTCCTTCGCTGAGGGATTCAGCCAAAGGCGGAACCACTACTACTTTAATCTCATCGACTATATCGGCGCACAAATCAACACTTAATAACTCATTACAAACTTGAAAACAATACAAACTTACAAACGATAGCAGATCTATGAAACTGACGATTAGTTTGTAAGCAATTTAAGTCTTTAGACCTCTTCAAGAGTTGTGAATAAAACCTAATTATGTGTCAAATAAACCAAAATTAAATACAAATCATATTTCAATCGACAAAACATCACATTTTCAGACAATAAACGAGTGAAGGGATGGATGTGTGAAATGGTATACCTATTGAGGACTCGTTGTGAATGTATGGGCGAACACGTGGCCAACCGGTGTGTCCAGTGGTCCACCGGTTCACTCATTCTTCGCGCCATTTCCTGCAGACAAATCGATTCCATATTCGGATCCATTGGTGACCCCATGTGTTGATAATTATCACCGCAACTCAACCGTACGGCCGTCCAATTGGTGCAAACGGCACGCCATCGGGAGCTCACGGAACAGCTCTTAACTGTGGACACAACGAGTGAAACCAATTAAAAGACATTAAAAAGCAAAAAGTGTTTTGCATTTGAATGGCATTGAAAAGGCGTTTAAGACATGGTTTGGGGACCAAATGGACGCGTTTGGAGACAATACAAGACCTGAGCCTTTGACGAGCGATCGGTTGATGAGAGCGGCCATTATGTGTGGACACAAACACTGATTAAATCCAATTCAATGATAATAACATTGAGATTGTGGTCACAAATGTTGTCTAGTATTGCAAAAGCATTGCACACTCTGTCCATCAATTGTGTTATCAATTCATTGCAAGGGTTTCGCTGAATCTGTGTTACGTATCAACCATTCACTGCAAGGTTTGCCACAATAGGGAGCGCTTTGTCTCAGTTTAGCGTTACGTTTATTATTTATGATTTCCTTCAGTAAATAACGTTGTGTTTGATGTCAACTTCATTGAGTAGTGATGGGTGGGTGTGCTATGAAGGGGGCAGTGCGTGGGGTAGTGATAGTGTGTGCCGTAATGTGTGTGCATTTGAATGCATGACTCAATTGTTTGATGACTTATAGGCAGAAAAGTTCTCTTTCGGGGATTTGTATGGTTTGCAGGGTTTGTGTCTCTACTCTAATATCATATATAACTCTATTTGTATTGCATTACAGTTTGCTTTTGCTTTTGTCTCGTTTTGTTTGGACTCCAAACACACATATACTGTACGCCAACACTGCTATGA